GTGTTTTCAGGGGCCCCAAGTCCCCCTTTTGATTGGACTTAATGGATAAAAAGCCCATATGAGTTAAAATAAACCAAACCTGAACATGAGGCAGAGTATTAGAAGATTTCTGGTTTCAGACCAAATTTGAATCACATTCTTACTAATAATCCAAAGTTAGATTAAAAAAATACAATCAAGCTCAAATGTTTTTGTAAGAATTCACCCTTAATTTAGCTGCAAAAAAAAAGCCCAACAAGTTAACACAAGAAGTTAATTTAATATTACAAAGTCTGCCATGTTACATAGAGTTAGAATGCTAAATTCAACCCTCCACAACAGTGCTTTCTGTTTGCCTCATCCTCCGTCAGGCTTGGTAAGTCATCTGGTATCTCTGACTTCAGAAGTGCAGATACAGTCCAGACATGCTTTCCTCATAGAAAGTGAGACACGCAACACCTAAGAATAACATTGAAAAAGTGTGTATTAGCAACTATACATATACAGTGATGTACTCACATGCTGCACATGAACATTAACACTTACAGGAAGCCTTTCCCACAGCCCAGAGGTCCAAAGAACAACTCTGTTGGGAGGCAAACCTTTCTACATACTCCACTTAGACTGGGGCAAGACCACGGGAAGGATGCAGCCTCATTTAGAGCAACTGTAATTTAGAAAAAAAAGAAAGAAAGAAATTTACTGTAGTTTTAGGTAAAATCCTTTTGCTTTAAGCTTGAAAAACTTTAACCCCTCTTGGTCATAAATTGGGCAGAAAAAAAATCTGCAGAGATCTGCAGAAATACTTACCATTTAGCAGTAAGACAACCAAAAGTGCCAAAACAATCACACGGTAACAAAACATTCTCGCGTCTCTCAGTTTTGCACCAGAAATGACGGTTCGGTGTGGATCTGTCTGTTTCAGTCAGAACGGAGCAGAGGACACAATACGAAGCAGCACACTGGTCACTGGGTTTTATATTATGGAACTACAAGCACTGTTAGGAGTTCAGGCTTTCCTCAATCACATTTAAGAAAATTAGATTACTGTGCCCACCTCGTGTCTAAAAGTCATGAGACAAGAATCTGACTTATAAATGTAATTGAAAGCATGCACAAGCCTTCACTGCTTGCTGGCATTAACACACAGGCCGTCTCTTTCTATGTTAAATGACTGAGAATGCATTCTCCCATAACACATGTATTTCTGTATCTCATCTCAACATTTACTGAAGAGAGTAGCTTGTAAACAACAGTGATTTTTCCTTGCAAAGCACGAATGTTTTCCAGCATATTTGTTTAGGTTTTATTATTTTTGCACACAAGTTCAGTGGAAGTCGGGTGACATGAACATTTGTCAAACCAGTTTTAAAGAGAATGTTTAATCAAATGTAAATTGAATCATAGAAAGTGCCGTTGTCGCCATTAGATCACATTACGGTCTCTTATGCTGTGTGGTTGTGAATAGATCAGTGCTATGTAAAGCTTAAGGGAGCGTGGACTCTGGTCAGGTTAGGTGACAAGCCTAAAAAAATGAGAAGAACTGTGTGGGCGGTATTCTTTAGTGAAGCAGAAGCTTTCAAATTACGGACAAAGATTTAATTTTCCATTTCTCTTGGTTAGAGAGATGAGTTTGGAAGTTTGATCGTCCAAAGTGGTCTTAAAGAAATCAGTGCCTTGCTATGCTGGGCATTTTCTGACTGCCTATTCTCTAATGTGAGCACCTTAAACACAAGGTTCTGCCAACAGACTTTGAGATAAGCAATACCCCTGAGCTAGAACCAAATAGGTTCACGTGTCTCCATTTTTTCTTTTTCTCTTTTTGTGCTGCAGCATCCAATAGCAATCGATTTCTTTGTCTCATAAGCCAGATTACTTAGATGAAGTTTAGATTTTAGTCAAATTAGTTCACAGGCTCCTTTCACCCTGAATTATCTGCACCCTGTATATTCAGCCTCAAAAGAGCTGTAGTAACCCAAACATCTTCGCTTTAGCCAGCAGTTAAAGAGGGTTCACTTTGTTGACACAAAACTTAAAACAGTCTTATCTTAGGAAAAAGTCTCTTTTGAGAAGCCCAAAGCCCACAGACATACACAGTGGCTGATTGCTATTTAATTGGCAGTATTTATCTTTAAATGTCACTAGTAAAGCTGAAGGGGCATAAACCTGCATAGAAAGCTGATCACAGTTTAAT